CATACCCTTGGTTCTTATCACACAGACAGAAAGCTGAGTCCAAAGTACAGGCAATGCAATGTTCATTGGAGTTAATCAAGCAAGCATATCCATAGCATTGTAAACCAGTAGAACTTTTCCCTGCCCAACCTCCTCTTTCTTAGCAGGCATAATTATACCTGTAGAGCACGACCCCGGCACCATCCCTTACAATTTATGGTCATGTTCCATTTTGGAGGGCCGTGGGTCAGGAGCCTCAGTATCACCTCTTTTGTATCCCATTGGAGGGGTAGGAAGTGAGGTTGTGTTTCGACCAGGGTTAGTGATTCTTATGCTTCCCCAACATCCACCCCCCCCCTCCTGACTGGTTCCTTGACCTTAGAATCATAGAATATCAGGGTTGGAAGGGACCTCAGGAGGTCATCTAGTCCAACCCCCTGCTCAAAGCAGGACCAACACCAACTAAATCATTCCAGCCAGGGCTTTGTCAAGCCTGACCTTAAAAACCTCTAAGGAAGGAGATTCCACCACTTCCCTAGGTAACCCATTCCAGTGCTTCACCACCCTCCTAGTGAAAAAGTTTTTCCTAATATCCAAACTAAACCTCCCACACTGCAACTTGAGACCATTACTCCTTGTTCTGTCATCTGCCACCTCTGAGAACAGCCTAGATCCATCCTCTTTGGAACCCCCTTTTGGGTAGTTGAAACCAGCTATCAAATCCCCCCTCATTCTTCTCTTCTGCAGACTAAATAATCCCAGTTCCCTCAGCCTCTCCTCATAAGTCATGTACTCCAGCCCCCTAATCATTTTTGTTGCCCTCCGCTGGACTCTTTCCTGCTGGCAATGCTCCTACTTATACAGCCCAAAATGCCTTTAGCCTTCTTGGCAACAAGGGCACACTGTTGACTCATATCCAGCTTCTTGTCCACTGTAACCCTTAGGTACTTTTCTGCAGAACTTCTGCCTAGCCGCTCGGTTCCTAGTCTGTAGCAATGCATGGGATTCTTCTATCCTAAATGCAGGACTCTGCACTTATCCTTGTTAAACCTCATCAGATTTCTTTTCGCTCAATCCTCTAATTTGTCTAGTTTCCTCTGTAACCTATCCCTACCCTCCAGCGTATCTACCACTTCTCCCAGCTTAATGTCATCTGCAAACGTGCTGAGGGTGCAATCCATGCCATCCTCCAGATCATTAATAAAGATATTGAACAAAACCAGCCCCAGGACCGACCCTTGGGGCACTCCTCTTGATACTGGCTGTCAACTAGACATGGAGCCGTTGATCACTACCCATTGAGCCCGACGATCTAGCCAGCTTTCTATCCACCTTATAGTCCATTCATCCAGCCCATACTTCTTTAACTTCCTGGCAAGAATACTGTGGGAGACCATATCAAAAGCTTTGCTAAAGTCAAGGAATAACATGTCCACTGCTTTCTCCTCATCCACAGAGCCAGTTATCTCATTATAGAAGGCAATTAGTTTAGTCGGGCATGACTTGCCCTTGGTAAATCCATGTTGACTGTTCTTGATCACTTTCCTCTCCTCAAAGTGCTTCAAAATTGATTCCTTGAGGACCTGCTCCATGATTTTTCCAGGGACTGAGGTGAGGCTGAGATAGGAGTTGAGGCATTTTAAACTCCCACAAAAACCAGCAACACTTTCACTCTCTTCCTTATCTTTTATCATTGTGCTATAAACCCCATCCGGTTGTGGGCAGATGCAACTCACAGTTTCTTTGTTCTTTGTTCACACATGTTAGTGAGAATATAAGTATATCAGAAATCAAACGGGCAAACAAAACTCCAAATTCTATCTCAGGAAAATAGCTAGGCCTGAATACTATATTAATATCACTAACACCATCAACGTTTAACAACCCTCTATTCTTAGCCTTATGTCACCACCCATTGGGATTTCAGTCCACCACAGAGGTAAAGAAATAACAGAGGAGACAAAGAAGCTCCATATTCAAAATGGAGTTAGTTTGTAGTTTGAGAAATATGATGTAAACAGGGTCTGAATGTGCTCTCCCCTGACATCTAGTGATGAGCTGGGGAAGAGGCAATTGACTAATAATCTTAGGTGCATGTATACAAACACAAGAAGCCTGGGAAACAAGTAGGAGGAATTGGAAGTCCTAGCACAGTCAAGGAACTATGATGTGATTGGAATAACAGAGACTTGGTGGGGTAACTCACACGACTGGAGCACTGTCATGGATGAGTATAAACTGTTCAGGAAGGACAGGCAGGGGAGAAAAGGTGGAGGAGTTGCCCTTTATGTAAGAGAGTGGTATGATTGCTCAGAGCTCCAGTATGAAACTGGAGAAAAGCCTGTTGAGAGTCTTTTGGTTAAGTTTAGAGGTGAGAGCAACAAGGGTGATGTCATGGTGGGCGTCTGTTATAGACCACCAGACCAGAAGGATGAGGTAGATGAGGCTTTCTTCGGACAACTAACTGAAGTTTCCAAATTACAGGCCCTGGTTCTCATGGGAGACTTCAATCACCCTGACATCTGTTGAGAGAGCAAATCAGCAATGCACAGACAACCCAGGAAGTTTTTGGAGAGTGTTGGGGACAACTTCCTGGTGCAAGTGCTGGAGGAACACACAAGGGGCTGTGCTCCTCTTGACCTGCTGCTCACAAACACGGAAGATGATGTGAGGGGTGTGGGAGTGTTTTGGTGATGGAATTATGTAGTAGGGTCCTTGGTGGTCTGTTTTGCCTAGTGGTTAGTGTCCAGTCAGTCATGGGATAGTAGTAGGGGAGCCCAGGCCCACCCACTTCACCAGCCTCTGACCCAGAGCCCTAGGAGGGTCAGCAGCATTCACCCCTGTGGGAGGTGGACCCTCTGAGTTACCCTCCCTGGGTCACTTCCTACCACTGCCCCTTCGCTTCTGATCCCAGATAAGGAAAAATAAAAAGGAAATCCAACCATCATCCCCAACTGGGCTCAGCATACAGTCCTGGTACTTCAGGGAGGTGTCTCTAGCCCCTTTTTTCATGAGCCTTCAGGATAGGTATGTACTTCTCCCCAGACTTCCATTCCGATACCCCATTACAAATTAGATAAAATGGGAGGCATATCTTTTGAGGGATGGGCTTTTTCTAGGGGAATTGTGGGAGGAGCAGGGAGATTAGGTGAAGGGTATTCACCACTGTAGGGACCAGTGCTAAGGGTGTGTGGCCACACTCCCTTTGATGACCTTTGTTGCTCATGGTGGAATGTTCTACAGGATCTTTGCCTCATTCAGTGCACAAGATGAACCTATTCTGTGGATGAATCAAGGTTGTGGAGTAGGCGAACCTGTTATCTGCCTCATTTCTTACAGAAACAAGAAGGTGTGTAGTGAATAAGGACAGGGATTTCAGGAAGGGAAAGGATAGTCTAATGATTAAGGAACTTAAATGCTACCCTGGTGAACTGGATTCATCCCGGCTTCTGCCACAGAGTTCCTCTGTGATGCTGGGTAAGTCACTTAAACCAGGCTTCCTTATTTTCAGAGTGCCCAACTTGAGACTCTGCGTTCTGATTTGTAGAGGTGCAGAGCAATCATAGATGCAACGAAGTCTAAGGGAGCTATGCTTGAACATATGAAGTGTTACAACATGCTAAGTACACCTCTACCCCGAAATAACGTGACCCGATATAACATGAATTCGGATATAATGTGGTAAAGCAGCACTCCGGGGGGGGCGGGGCTGTACACTCCGGTGGATCAAAGCAAGTTCAATATAACGCAGTAAGATTTTTTGGCTCCCGAGGACAGTGTTATATCGAGGTAGATGTGTACTCTGAAAAATCAGGAGCTAGGCATTTCAAACTGCCCCCCCCCCCCAAAATAGTGAAAAGTGTTGACCTTAATCTCTCTGGGTCTCAGACTTCTGATCTATAAAATGGAGATAATACTCCCTCTCCTCACAGGGCTTATGAAATTAATCAGTCAATGTCTGCTAGGAAAAAACATGAAGAAATTAAAAATCCTTTCTTCAGAACAAGGTTTGAACAATGTGCAGAAAATAAGGGCTGGGGCCATACACTGAACAATTACGAGAAAAAAGATGCATACACATACTGAGTGAATTTTCATTGTACAGGCCTTGTCAGATCTGCTCTCTCCATAAGTTTGCATGTGATTGTATGTTACTATATTTTAATGAAAAGAAAACAAAGTTCTGGTCTGTCATCATTTTTCTCTTGTGCAGCTGGCATTTATCAACTTCACCCTCAGAAATGTTGCCTAATGACATTTAGAAGACATCCAACTGGTGGAGGAAGGAACAGTATGCGGAGCGGCCTCTCTCCCTCTGGACTTGAGAATGAGGGACCACTATACTCCCCCTGGGGGGTGGAGTCGAAGCCACCTCACCCCTCTCACCTGAAATACCAGGGTGGGACAGAAAGTATAAAGGGAGTGCTCTGCAGCTCAGTTGAATGGGAACCAGGGTAGGAGACAGAAGTCTCCACTTTGCTGCGGAACCCTGGAGCTGAACCTGCGCTTTGCAGAGTCCTGCCCCTGGAGGAGACTGTACCTGTAAAGGAGTCACCAGGACTGCTGTCCGTTGTGTACCCAGAGGACCTTTGGACTACAGACTTCCGCACCCAGACTGTGGTAGGAAGTAGCCCAGGGTAACCAAGGTGGTTAAGAGGAGGTTCAAGCTGGGAGTAAAGGTTTGAGATGTCTGTTAGGAGGGCTGAATAAGGGTTAACCAGCTGGGGCTGTTTAGGGTGCTTCTTAGGGGAGATGAGGTCTTGTTTAGATCAGGATTAAAAGGTGTGAAGTTGGGTCCAGTTACCTAGCTCAGTCTAATTGACATCTCCTAAAATTCAAGTCAGGACAAAGCAATTGTACTTTAATATATGTTAAACTGATGGAGTTTATGCCCAGGGGGAGCCTGGGCTGGATCTGATAAAACTGAACTAGAAGCATTAAACTGTGCCTACACTGGAGTTAAGTGGGGTTTCTGTGGAGTCCAGCTAGCTGATTGGACTAATACAATTGAAAAAACTCACCTTTTCCCCAGGTTTAGACAAGGCCTGGTTGTTACTGGTTGTTAAGTAAGGATTCAGTGTCTGGAAGAAATGAAGACCAGAAGTAAAGGCGGCACTGTAAGCAGCTTCAGCACTTTGGAGCAGGGATTTGGGTGCTTGGCATTGAGGGGACTGTGCAGGAGAAGTAAACAGCTGGTATGGGCATGCTAGGGAGTGCTTTGGGAGCACTGTGTAAGTGTAACCTGCACATCTCCTGAGGTCCCAAGTTCAATCCTGTCCACTGATGACTGGGATCTGTCAGTGTTACATAAGCAACTTGACTTATCTGCAGTTGCAACTTACTTGTTTTAAAGGTTAATCTAGAGCATAGCCAGTGTCCCTTCTAGCCCTGAACAATGTGCAGGGCTGGTAAGAGAGAACTGCTCTCCCAGAGGAGGGAGGAGAAGTCTTACTACATAGGAGGAAGCTTTTAAGGTGCTATACGTCTACATGTTGGTGCAGAAACACGCAGCTGAGTCAGTCACTTCATTGGAGAGGGATTTGACTGAAAGAACCACGTCTCCCAGTGAGCACCTGCAAATCCCCCCGGAACACCACATTTCTCTACATATTTTATGGTACCAGACCAGGAGATCAATTGCAGAGCCTTTCACAGAGGCTGCTAGTACCAGGTAGACTATCATACCTATCATTTAGTTCCCAAGACAGCTGTCTTTACTGCCGTCTCTCCATTGCCAGACTCCCTATGTGTCCCGAGGAGGGAAAAAGACAAAATACAAGAGATGGACCCAGTCAAGCAAATGGCTCATGGCAATAAAGTTGTATCCTGCAAACACAAGGATGAGGTTTGATATCTCAGCTGATGACATATATGTTCCCAAGAGACAAATGGCCATGCTTTAATTTCACTAGCTTGGGTAGTTAAGCTGCATCCATGTGAGTTTCAGAACAAACCCACCCCGAACCCTGGGTAATTACTTGTGGGGCTAGCCTTCATCGAAGCTTGGACTACTGCAGCTTCACTGCCCCAGGACCTAAACTAGTTAGATTAAAGCTCACTCGAATATGTCATCTTGAGCTGCAATCACACCTTGTGTTTTCAGTCGAGACATAGCCTGAGTGGTTTTTCGGGGGAAAGATGGGGTGAGGCTTTGGCTACTGGGAATGAACGGAGGGGATCAGGATCACAATGGGGCTAGGGTGGACTTAGTATTGGGTTTAGCAGTTTGCGTAGGGGTTTGTGGTGCTTGAAAAAGTAGAGGGCTATCAGATGGGAGCTGGAGATCTCTGGAGAATGCATCATCTTATGTAATAATCAGAAGTTTACTCCTCTCTGGAGCTCTTAATATAGACCATGAGCTATTTTCCTTTGTGTGGCAGCACACCTCCCTCCTCTGTGGGAGATGGCGTTCCTCTCTCTGAAGTGGTGTTCAGGAAGGGGAGGTGTTTTTTGTAGAGGGAGGAGGTGACTCTGAAGCACTGTGTCTAAGCTGCTGGCGCAGAAATACACAGCCGAGTCCTCAGGCTTCACAGGTGAGATTTTCAACTGAAAGAGCTGAGTTTGTGGACGGATAGCTGTGACTCTCTCAGAAATATTTCCTGGCTCTACTTTAGCTGTATCATAGGAGTAATAGATCAGGTGCAATCCTTTGCCCTGAAGCTGCTGGTACCAGTACATGTAATCATAATTAATATTTTGTTCACATTGTAGCTCCGCTGTTTTTCCTCTCTCCAGTACCAGACTCAGTGTCTGATTGAAGCTGACATCTGCGCCTCCTGTGGGAAGGAGACAAAACACATGAGAGAGACACAGTGAAACCAGTGGCTCCTGGGAAAACCTCCACAGCTGCACCCTGCAAACTCCAGGACAAGGATTTCATGACTTAGCCAAAAACATACTTGCTCCTAAGAGACAAAAGACCATGCACCAGACTAGCTGCATTTCCATCTTTAGAGGTGTTCCCCAGCACTGACTTTTATATGGCTCTGCTATCAGCACCCATAGGTGGGACCTGTTGTCATTGTCACCACCATTGGCTCCTGCACAGGCAGACCCAAAGGAGACTTCTGAGGAGGTTCAGGCTTATCCTGCTGGACCCTCTTGAGAGGTGATCTCAATTCCCAGCTATGAGATGGAAACCATTATTTGGATGAGCTGATTGTGGAATCAGGTCAATGCGTGTTCTAGTATAGACACTGCGTAGACATTGCAGAGGCCATTTTGCTGAGCATCAGCTCACAGCAACCTCAGGCTTATAACCTATTTTAAGGAGGCTCGGTCTACACTTAATACTTATACCGGCATAGCTATGTCAGTCAGTAATAAAACCAGCCCCCAGTGACATAGCTATGCTGGCTAAACCCCAGTGAGATGCAACTATGCGGACAGAAGCACACTTTCGTCAGCATAGTTAATGTCATTCAGGGTGGGGGAGTTCCTACACTGGCAGAAAAGCTCCTGTTGTCAGAGTATGCTGTGTCTACATTAGAGGGCTCTGTCAGTATAGCTATACCTACATAGCTAGGCCAGCATAGGCTCTGTAGTGTAGATACAGCCTGAAGGACTGGGGTTATCCCCCATCTCCTTAAGAAAATATCTGGGGAATTTTAACATCTGTCCAGACCGCCCATCAGAGCCACTGAAGGGGAGTTTGGGTTAATGTATCTTCTGAAAGGACAAAACTCTAACAATGCATCTTTCCTCTGTCCCAAGTACCCCATTAACTTAATGTAGCTAATCACCTACCTACTGCATGAAGTTGATTATTATTATAAACTAACATACAGATTTTCCAAAATACCCAGTGATATATCTAACGTATTGTGACGGGTTGGATCACAGAAACCCCCTTGGGAACTGCCAACTGATGTGCTAAGATTACTTCTGCCCCTGATTTCCCTGCCAGCTTGGGACTCCAGCACCTTGTCTTGCTGAGCCAGACACGCCAGTCTGCTCCAACACAGACCCAGGGTCTGAACCAAGTGCCCCAAAGCTGCAGACTTAACCTGAAATCAGCTTACAGAAGTGTTCCTGTCTTTAACTCTCAGATGCCCAACTCCCAATGAGGTCTAAACCCCCAATAAATCTGTTTTACCCTGTATAAAGCTTATACAGGGTAAACTCATAAATTGTTCGCCTTCTATAACACTGATAGAGAAATATGCACAGTTGTTTGGTCCCCCCCCCAGGTATTAATACATACTCTGAGTTTAATTAATAAGTAAAAAGTGATTTTATTAAATACAGAAAGTAGGATTTAAGTGGTTCCAAGTAGTAACAGACAGAACAAAGTGAATTACCAAGCAAAATAAAATAAAACACACAAGTCTGTCTAAGAAACAGAATACAAATACAACCTCACCAGTTCCAGTAAGCTTCCTTTTACAGACTAGTCTCCTGCTAGTCTGGGTCCAGCAATCACTCACACCCCCTGTAGTTACAGTCCTTTGTTCCAGTCTCTTTCAGGTATCCTTGGTGGTGGAGAGGCTATCTCTTTAGCCAGCTGAAGACCAAAACGGAGGGGTCTCCCACAGGCTTAAATAGACTTTCTCTTGTGGGTGGAGACCCCCTCCTCTCTCCTATGCAAAGTCCAGCTCCAAGATGGAGTTTTGGAGTCACATGGGCAAGCCACATGTCCATGCATGACTCAGTTTTTACCAGCCAAGACACATTCCTGGGAAAGCTCAGATGTGGATTGACATCTTAAAGTTCATTGTTGGCTTAAGTGGTTTTTGATTGGGCACTTAATTTGCACTTTTCTCAAGAAGCTGACCAAATGCTCTACTAGGCTAGTTAAAATCAAGCCAGTACACAGCCAATATTCATAACTTCAAATACAAAAATGATACATGCATACAGATAGGATGAATACACTCAGTATATCATAACCTTTACATAGATATGTTACATGGCATATGTAGCCTAAAACATATTCTAGTTATGTCATACATACATTCATAAGCATATTCCATAAAGCCTTATGGGGGGTACCCTCACATGTATATCTAACTTAAAACAGTGTAAAGGGGTCTGATGTTAAGGAAGTCTTAAGTACCTTTCCTTTGAAAACCAATCCTCTTTAAGATGTCTCATGGTGGACACAGAGAAACTCAAATACACAATCTAAGACTATGTCTACATTTCAGAGTAGCAGCCGTATTAGTCTGTATCCGCAAAAAGAAGAACAGGAGTACTTGTGGCACCTTAGAGACTAACAAATTTATTAGAGCATAAGCTTTCGTGGACTACAGCCCACTTCTTCGGATGCATATATGTCTACATTGTGCACCTTACAGCAGCTGCTACAGCCGTGCTGCTGTAAGGTATGCAGTGTTGCCGCTCTTTGTCGGCAAGAGAGAGCTGTCCACCTCTGAGCGTCAAAAGTTTTACTGATGAAAGTGCAATGTAGACATGGCCTTGGTCTTATTTGTCTGTAAAGTGCGTAGCACATTTTTGGACCCAATGGCTGACACAGCACCTGCCCCAGGAAGCTTTCAATCTAAATATTTGACAAGTAAACTGTTAGTTACAACTCTTAGTTTACAGACTAAGGAACTAAGATACAGTTTTAGTTTTTCATTTGGAAGGGGTGGCATGGAAAGTAGGTGAGAGCTCTGAAGGTGGTGGCAGGAACATGAGAAGAGACAAGGATGGAAGGGTGCTGACAAACATGGAGAGAACAAAGGAGATGGAAGTGTGTTACTCTACACAGAGAAAAATGTTCCTGTGCACTCACCACTGATGGAAAATCCAAGAGCAGAGGGCTCCTGAGCAAAAACCATGCAGCCGTTTTTCTGCTCCCATTACTGCTCTGCTATGAGACTCTTTCTTCTAGGGTACTAAGGATTGTGTACAGGACCACATGCCCCATGGTGCATTTTTTATCAGTATGTGCTGATACCCCCTACTGGATGGGATATGCCAAACCTTCTGTTTGTATCAGTTCCCACTGAGGGCAGAGCAAGTGGTTCAACTCTGCTCACTTGGCAGGCTGAGGCCTGCTCTTTTCGAGTGTGTGAGTGTGGGTTCTGCTCCCAGATACTACACATCACTGGTTAGTTAAGGATTTGGGGGGCAGATGTATCTATGGACACAGGGCCAGGACACAGTGGCAGATTATATTAGTTCTGTGCCTGTGTGTCCTGCATGGATCTCCCAGGGGCGCTGTCCTATCCCATTTCCTCTTACCCAGAGGAGTGGGCCTTAATCCCCTCCTCATTCCTGTAGGTACCCATATAGTGTTGACATAGATTGTGACTTCCTCCTCCTCTCCTCCCTCTTACTGCACTGGCTGTGGGTAGAGATGCAGGGGGAAGCCCCTCTCTGGGAAGGGAGCTGCAGTAGCAAGGGGAGGAGGTTTTTGCAGGGGAAGGAGGTGATTCTGAAGCACTGTGTCTGAGCTGCTGGCACAGAAATACACAGCCGAGTCCTCTGGCTTCACGGGTGAGATGTCCAAGTGAAAGAGCTCAGTCTGCGGCCTTTCAGCTTGGAATCGATCAGTGACATTGCCTTTGTCTGTTTGTTGTTTATGAACAAAGAGGAAGAGCAGCTGGAAACCCTGTCCTGGGTCCTGCCGGTACCAGAACATGTTGTTATGCCCATAGGTTTGGTTACATACGAGCTGGGCTCGGTGTCCCTTTTCCAGGACCAGACTCGGGGGTTGGTTGATCTGAGCACCTGAGCATCCTGTGAGGGAAAGAGACAAAACATGTGAGACGGCGACAAAAGAAATGTCACAGAGGGAAATGTTCAGAGCCGTGTCCTGCAAACACAGGGATGGGGATTCATTCAGCCAATGACTTACTTGCTGCCATGAAACAGATGGACACATACCAGACCATTTGCATCCCCATCTCTGCCTCACTAGCAGGGATGTTCCCCCAGCACTGCCCTTATACAGCTCTGCTCTGTAGGGCTGGTTCTTCTCCTACACCTGGAGACAACAGAAGGGATCTGTTTGTGGTATGTCTCCAGGCTCTTACACTCACAGACACAACAGCAGAACCAGAGGGGCCTGTGCACATTCCTCCCTGCCTGGGAGCGGTGAACTGGATTCCCAGCTGAGACACAGATGACCTGCAAGTCAATGGGCCTATGTCACATGACTACAGGGGTGACTTCACGACACCCTAAATGATCATCTGAGCAGAGAGATCAACCACTAAAAAGGGCTTTTTTGAATGAGCTCTGACTCCACCCTCTTGAGTGAGGTACATTAGTGAGGAGGTGGTGGGTGGGTGTGTCCAGTATAGATGCAGCCTGCACTAGTGCTGCCTGTTTCTTCATTCCTGTTTCAGGCCTGTACTCTTCCACAATGTTACTATTTGCCTGTGCATAGGGAATAATACAGATAAATGATCATCCTGACTCAATAGCCACACCCTCTGCCACAGCAAAGATCACAATAGATCACAGTTGCCATGATGTCTGTGCTCCTGTTGTGACATTCATCATTTAGCCATTGATTAACCAATTCCAGAGTGACCGTGGGAGTCAAGGCTTATGTGCTTGTTTGTGTGAGAATGAAATTCCTGAGACACATACTTTGTGCAAGGAGTATCTGTCTCTAAGCGCAGTCAGTGACCTTTCCCCTACTATTTATACACACAGCAGGGAAATATCTGCACTGTGATTCCATCCACTGAGTATCACAAACTAGTTTTAGGCACTTTTCACTATATCTGCATCTCCAAACTCGCAAACTCTCCAGTCAGAACAAGAAACCATACTCTGTGAATCTCCCCATCTCTCCTTCGTCCAGCCATTCTCCTCCACACCCAGTCACTGGCACACTGTTAAGCCCTTCCTGTATTTACAAACACTCCCTGAAAGATTGTTCCAACCTCTTGGTTTGCTCTTTACTGCTTTGTTTTGTTGGTGCTACGTCGCCCTCCAGTGGCCATAGCCAAGAACGTTAATAGAAGGTAGTCCTGGTAATCTAGGCCCTTTCTTCTCCATTCATGGGAATCCAAAGCATTGTAGGCACTGGGGGGTTAGTTAAATCCCAGCAGTGCAGGTGAACACAGGGTGGTCAATGCAAAATGAAGGTTTAAAGTCCCCCATAAAGAGCCTCTTCATAACACAATATATGGAGTCTGGATGTGTGTTGGGCGGGGGGAGGAAAGGACATTTATTCATGTAGTAGTTTATGCCCTGAAGCAGGAGGATCAATGGCCCCAATAATTGTTGCTCTCTGTCTAGCACCAATCTCAGTGCTATCTGCATGCTTAGATGCATGATGGAAAACCATTATGCTGTCCTGGCAATGAGCGATGAGGAATCACCCCCAAAGTTGGAGGAGGAGAAGCCATGTACCCCCAAGGCTGGAAGGATCACAGCTACCAGTCCCAGGAGGATACGTAGGATAGTGGTGATTGATGACCCTCTTCTGAGGGGGACAGAGGCACCCATCTGTTGCCTCCTCCCGGGAGGTATGCTGCCTGCTAGGGGCCCATATCTGAGACGTTACGGAGGGATTGTCGAGGATCATCCGGCCCTCTGACTGCTACCCCATGCTACTCATCCATGTGGGCACTAACAATTCTGCAAGGTCTGATCCTCAGCAGATCAGAAGTGACTACAGGGCTCTGGGAGTAAGGGTGAAGGAGTTGGGAGCACAGGTGGTGTTCTCTTCGATCCTTCCGGTCAAGGGTATGGGCCCAGGCAGAGACAGATGCATCCTGGAGGTGAATGCCTGGCAGCAAGGATGATGGTGGGATATAATTGGTTAAATAACCATGTTACAGTATGTTAGGATTGGTTAGTTAAATTTCAGTAAAATGATTGGTTAAGGTATAGCTAAGCAGAACTCAAGTTTTAATATATAGTCTGCAGTCAATCAGGAAGTAAGGGAGGAATGGGAACAGGCACTGGGGGTGGGGGAATTGGGATCATGAGAGTCCTACAAAAAGAGGAAACTAGGTTAATTACAAAAGGTGAATATAAACAAATAACACAAGTATGTAGGGACAAAACTAGAAAGGCCAAGGCGCAAAATGAGATCAAACTAGCTGGAGACATAAAGGGTAACAAGAAAACATTCTACAAATACATTAGAAGCAAGAGGAAGACCAAGGACAGGATAGGCCCATTACTCAATGGTGGGGGAGGGGAACAATAACAGAAAATGTGGAAATGGCAGAGGTGCTTAATGACTTCTTTGTTTTGGTTTTCACCAAGAAAGTTGGTGGTGATTGGACGTTTAACACAGTGAATGCCAATGAAAATGAGGTAGGATCAGAAGAGGCTTAAATAGGGAAAGAACAAGTTAAAAATTACTTAGACAAGTTAGATGTCTTCAAGTCACCAGGGCCTGATGAAATGCATCATAGAACACTTAAGGAGCTGACTGAGGAGATATCTGAGCCATTAGCAATTATCTTTAAAAAATCATGGAAGACAGGAGAGATTCCAGAAGACTGGAAAAGGGAAAATATAGTGCCAATCTACAAAAAGGGAAGTAAGGACAACCCAGGGAATTACAGACCAGTCAGCTTAACTTCTATACCTGGAAAGATAATGGAGCAAATAATTAAGCAATAACTTGCAAACATCTAGAAGATAAGAAGGTGATAAATAACCATCAGAATGGATTTGTCAAGATGTATTAGCAGGAGTGTTGTAGGCAAGACACGAGAAGTGATTCTTCCACTCTACTCCACACTGATTAGACCTCAAGTGGAGTGTTGTGTCTAATTATGGGTGCCACATTTCGAGAAAGATGTGAACAAATTGGAGAAAGTCCAGAGAAGAACAACAAAAAATGATTAAAGGTCTAGAAAACATGACCTATGAGGGAAGATTGAAAAAATTGGGTTTGTTTAGTCTGGAAAAGAGAAGACTGAGAGGGAACATAACAGTTTTCAAGTACATAAAAGGTTGTTACAAGGAGGAGGGAGAAGAATTGTTCTTCTTAATGTCTGAGGATAGGACAAGAAGCAGTGGACTTAAATTGTAGCAAGGGAGGTTTAGCTTGGACATTAGGAAAAACTTCCTAACTAGCAGGGTGGTTAAGCACTTGAATAAATTGCCTAGGGTGATTGTGGAATTTCCATCACTGGAGATTTTTAAGAGCAGGTTAAATAAATACCTGTCAGGGATGGTCTAGATAATACTTAGTCCTGCCAGGAGTGCAGGGGATTAGACTAGATGACCTCTCGAGTCCCTTCCAGTTCTATGATTCTATGCAGATCCATAGCTAGTGCCACTGTCAAGGCTGCTATTATTCATAGTTTTGAAAATTATTTGTCTTTGATGCCAGGTGCTGTTGGAGCTCTCAGCATCTCTCTCTCTCTCTTTCTTCCTCCCCTCCTCAGTTCCTCTCTCTCTGTCAGGGGAGGGCAGATGTGTGCTTGAGTTCTGGATCCTCTCCCCACACTGTATGCTCATAGGCAGCACAAAAATTGGTGGCTGCATCCTGAGATGCCATCTTCTTTTCAGTTATAGCAGACAGCCCTTCTTGTTTTCTTCTGTTCAGAAACTTGCTCTGTGACATTGCACCCCATAATGCTTTATAGAAGTATGTTTATGAGTGTAAATATGACATAACTGGAGTATGTTTTATGCTAGATATGCCATGTAACATATCTCTGCAAAGGTTATGAGCTACTGGATATATTCATCCAATTTGTATGCATGTATTATTTTTGTATTTGAAGTTATGAATATTGGCTATGTACTTGTTTGATTTTAAGTAGCCTCAGTGAAGCATTTGGTCAGCTTCTTGAGAAAAGGCTATTCTCAGTAAGTGCCCAATCAAGAAACACTTAAACTGACAATGAACGTTGAGAGATGTCAATCCACATTTGAGCTTTCCTTGGAGTGTGTCATCAGCCTGTAAAGAACTGAGTCATGCATGGACATGTGACTTGCCCATGGGACTCCAAAACTCCATTTGGCAGCTGGATTCTGCATAGGAGAGGAGAAGGGGTTTCCACCCATAAGAGAAACTATATAAGCCCCTGGGGAAACCCCTCCATTTTGTCTTCAGCTGGCTCAAGAAATAGCCTCTCCACCCCAAAGGATACCTGAAAGAAACTGGAACAAAGGACAGTAACTACAGGGGTGTGAGTGATTGCTGGACCCAGACTAGAAGGAGGGAGGCTAGTCTATCAAAGAAGCTTACTGGAACATCTCTGAGGGTGAGATTTACCTGCATTTAGTTTCCTACTGTATTAGGTTTAGACTTCCGTGTTTTATTTTATTTTGTTTGGTAATTTACTTTGTTCTATCTGTTATTACTTGGAACCACTTAAATCCTACTTTTCATAATTAATAAAATCACTTTTTGCTTATTAATTAACCCAGAGTAAGTATTAATACCTGGGGGTGAACAGGCAGCAGGTTACACATGAAGCTGCTGCTTCTCAGAGCCAGGTTGCTACCTCTTTCCACACAGGATTTGTAACCAAGCAGTGAGCATATGCATGCTGCTATGCTTAATGGGAAAGTACTCCTAGGAGTGAGGGACACGGGTGCAGAGATTTCTGTGATCAGGAGGGACCTGATCCAAGAGAAGGATTTGTTGCTAGGGAAAATGGCAGAATTAGAACTGGTGGGAGATTACTGGCTCAAACAAGGAAAGGTACTGAAGTCACAAGCTGGCAGGAAAAATGGGCTCAGAGGTAGTCTAGGCACATCAGGAGGCAGTCCCAAAGGGGTTTCTGTGATCCAACCCATCACAGCTC